CGAAATGCCCTGCAAAAGTCAAGGTCCTATGAGCATTCTCAGAACATGTGCATTACTCATTGCTGGGTAAAAGCAGTAGCTCCAGCAGTGCCAAATGCTTTTGAAACGAAGGGGATGAAACTAACATGGTTAGTCTTACTAAAACTAACGTTTCGGTTTGCTCTGCTCCTCTGCTTCAACCAAGCAATCACTAAGGCGTACTACTTGTAGAATGTTCTATAGTGAAGAAAGAACTTTTTTTTTCTGCATATGTCTTTCGAACCTCACAACAGACCTGGTGAAGCGGGTTTCATTAATATACCCATTTTATAGATGAGGTGTAGGTGCATGAAGTAAATTTTCTGTGTGATTGGGATACAAATGCTCCTTAATATTTTCCTATGAGATATTGTAAGATTAAACTTACAGTAGGTAACAAGTACTTTGAAAATCTTATTATTAAAACACTTTACAGGTAAGGCATATATGCCAATCAATAAATAATTATCTAGTCCTAGTAGGTGGCGATGCTGTATACCTACATGTGCTGTCCACTTCTCCAATGCTGTATACTTATACACAGAATTACATCATTGTCTCTGGGTTCAGCGAGCTTACAACGCATTTATAAAGCAAGTTTGCGAATGTTCTGTAGGCACTTAGGACAATGAAGATTAATGAGGACTGGCCTGGTTGGAGAAGGCCCAGCCAAGACTAAATGCAAGTGAAACTGGAAAAGTGCCAACGTTGTGACGGAGATGAAGAAAGAGCAGTGGGGAGAGGGTAGGGGAGCCCACAAGAAGGTGAGGGCTTGTTAATGTGGAAATCTGGAGAGGGGAAGCAGAGTTTGCCTTCTTAAAGACGTTGATTATTTTAAGCTGGTTGTTCTTAAAAAAACGAAAGGACTCAGGAAGGACCTTGGAACCTCCTCCTTTACTTGCCTAAAGACGCTCAGAAAAAAACTGCTTAAAGGAAGGGAGTGATCACCTTAGCATCATCCTATGACCTAAGTGTGGCAGACAGGGAGAAGCCAAGAAAAGTGTGTGTTAGATTCCCCTCTGTGTCCCGTTGGTTTTGGGTGGCCAGCAAGAGCTTCTTTACCTTATTCTTGCTGTTTCTCATCTACCTGTGAATTGCATACTTTCCCTTGGAAATCCCAGACCACCCCCCACCCCCCATAGTCCTGAATGGGCACATAGACTCATCTGCCCAATGTTTCCTGGGGTCCCATGTTCTTAGGGGCCTCCCATGTGTGCATATGTAATAAATTAAGTTATTTTCTCCTATTCATCTAGTTCATGTTAGATTATTAGGCCAGCCAAAGAAAAAGACTTAGAACGTGAAAAAATTATTTTGCCTCTCCTACACTAGAAAACAGTGAAACAGGAGTGGTTCATTTGTCCAGGCAGCATCTAGCACGGGGCCTTAAACACAAGAAGTGCTCAGTAGAGAAAAGAATGAAGAAAGAAGTTGCATCTTAACTAAGAGGTGAACTGTCCCCAGTCTCATCAATCAGGTCACCCCTGCTTCTGCTGGAGCAGGCAGACGTTTCTTCCCCAATACTTCCCCCAAGAAAGTAAAACTGCCGGCATAAATTCCTATTTTGCCAGAAGTTCTAATATTTTTTTACTTTATGACAAAGGCAGCCACGGAAAAACTTTGAATAGGAATATGAAAGCATGCTAAAGGAATATCAATCTGGCCAGTGTGTGGCTTCGGTTACTGTGGAAAGGGAACACGTTTGGTGAACACGGCCAGGACTCAGGTGCATCAGGCGGGCAAGGGAAAGTGAGGGCCAGTAGGAAAGATCTTCAGTGAGAAAGAAAAATGGTTACATAAAAGAATACTTGTTCAGGGTGGGTGTACAGTTGTTTGTGTGGAAAATAATATAATAATCAATAGATAGTGATACAAGAATAAACTGTATTTCATGCACTTACAACTGTAAACCTCCTTCTGCCCCACCCGGTATAGTTCAATTTATAGAACTCAATGATCGATTAAATGAAAAGGGGGGGAGATAGACCAGATTTTTCTCTATGATTTAAAATCAGAGGAACTCAAAGGAAACATTGTTAGTGACAGAAATACAGATGAGGGGGTGGCATTGCAAGCGGGACCCTGGGCAAAGTCAGATTCTGTGGTCACAGAGGGAAGCAAAGGAGGGCTCACCCTGCTCGGGCTCCTGCTCACCCTGCCTGTCCTCTGCCATTCGGGTGATGGCCTAAGTGCTAACCTTGTCTTAACCCAGGCGGTAGCTGCACTGCCACCTCCAGCTGTTCACATCATTTTGATGGGTGTCTCTCTGTCAAAGCCAAGACACAATCGTATTACCAGTGGTGGAGGTCTGATCATTGCAATTTCAACTACGTTTCAAAAGCCTTAAGGAAGATGGAGCTATTGTCCAACTGCTGCCGGAGGACCGGTGTAACAAAATGGATGGGACAAGTGCATCAGGGAAAACAGTTCTGCTGGTGACCCCGTGGCTGGCAGCAGCCTGGGACCTTTCTCTCTAAATCAATAGCAGGAGGGCTTCTCCCAGCCTCCCTGTTTCTGTGTATTTCTTATTTCCTTTGCTGCCGTGTTCCAAAAGCTTTGCATTAGATCTATGACTAGATCCTGTTGGGAAAGATTAAAAGTAGCTTGAGCAACCTGGATAAAAGAGAGACTCAGAAACTTGAAAACCAGTCCTGTTTGCAGAGAAGGCCCATTTGAGGGAAGGGGTCTAAGCGTGAAGCACATAGGATGTGAGCTGGGTTACATGCTTCTCCGCAGCTCTTTGCAGGAACAGCTTGACTAGATTCTCTGCAATTCTTAGTTATTTCCCCTCTTGTTCCTTGGATGTAGTTGAATAGTATGTAGGAGAAGTACTTTTGAGGGGATTGGTGCAAGGGTTTTTTGTTTTGTTTTTTCAATAACCTCTCACAGGGAACGCTTCCATACCCTCTTCCTTCGTGGCCCGTGTTGCCATGTAGGCATGACAGATGTTTCAGGTGTGGGCTGTCAGTCGGGCAATGGGATTCTGAGTGCACAATGATTGGAATGACCGTTATATGCTCAACTAGAAGGTGTTTGGCAGAGCAGGAGGTCAGCTTTCCAGATGGTAGGGTATAGAAACACCAGATTTGTCTTTGGAAAGGTACCAGTGGCTGAAATCTGAGTTTTCTTCTGTCCCCAAATTTTGTATGGGCTTGTTGTCTTTCACTAGAAAAACTTAACCGCGTAAATTAATGGTGTGTTAAAGGTATTCCCCTTCTTTTTTTATTTGAACGGTGGGTTATTTTGGCTTTGTCACACACAGTTTAAGACTGAACATCTGATCATTCTATGCTACATGTGATTTGCAGTATTAAGTGAGCTTGTTTTAAATATCAGTGGGAATACCCTTCATAGGTGTATGTATACTGTATGGATGCAAAGGAAAGAGCCTTTGGGGTTGCCGTTTGGGACCTCCAAATGTCATCACGAACAGCAACAGGTGTGCAGGGATGTGTTTTTACCTGCCGACACCAAGCCTGCAGACTCCTCGCTGACTTGGCACAAATTGTGTGAAAATACATTTGTAAGGGCGTAATCACCAATGTCTGTCGTTTTCTTGTGAGTGCCGGTGGATAATTCTCAAGATCCAGTAGACTTACTGACATTTGTATTGTTATAATCTTGGCTGTATCTAAAAGCATAGACTACCATTTGCAGGTGAAAGTGGGATTCCTTTGTTTAACACTTTTTTTAAAACCCCTTGATTATGTAAATCTTTTAGACAAACTGAAATGAAGGATCTTTTTGAAAATAAAATCTAAAACAAACAAGCAAACAAGAGGTGCGTGTCAAGGAAGTAGCAGTAGGAAAGAGAACTCTTTTTCACGGGACAATGTTTTTCTTCACCCCCTCCAATGTGAGTGTGGAACAGAGGGCTCTAGCGAAGGAAATGGGTCAGGCCCCCAGAGGTATCAAAACATGTGGCGTGGCCTTTCCAAAACCCTGACCTCAGGCTGTCTGGGCTCCAGGCCTAAGGGCTGTGCATGGGCCCTAGAGAAAGCCCACGGCACAGTGTGATGAGGGGCAGGACCACCGAGCCAGGGCCTCGCTGCCCGGCCTGGAGCTGGCGCTTAACACACGAGGCTCCTGCTCCTCCAGGGCACTCGCTGCCCCTTTATCTCCAAAATCATCAGCCTGGGCTCCCCAGCCTAGTCAATGCAGACGCAAACAACGCACCTTACAAAAAGAAAGGGTTTTGCAAAGGCTGTTGGCACCTCTTCCTAGATGATTGCTACCCCGGGGCCCTGGTAAAAGTGAAAACCAGCACTGAAATGGTCTGCACGGGGTGGGGTTTATTTTCCTTTGTTGGGGAAACGAGGACGGGGAGTGAGTCCATCCTAGTTTCCATAGATATGGTACTGTTTTATCTAAATTAAAAAAAAAATACCTCGAATTCAGCCTACTTGTGTTTTTTGCACAGGGCTAATATATTTCAATTCAAATTTTTCTAAATGAAACAAAGAGAAAGAGCTTAACACATTACAAACTCTTAACTTTACACTGCTTGTTTCTTGGTATTTATTTTGGCTCAAAAACAAAACAAATAGAAAAACCAGCGCAGGGTTCAAGGCCGTGGAGCAGTTTCGCGTCCGGCCCAGGTGTCAGCTGAGCTCTCACTGCAGCCGCCGCCGGCACTTTTAAAGCGCACCCCGCGGTGGACTACGCGCCCCGAGAGCGCGCGCCGAGAGGAGGCCGCGAAGTGCGTTGTGGTACTTGTAGTCTCGGGTGGCTTCCCAGCCCTGGAATCACGCTCTGATTCCGGGATGGTGGAACTCCGGAGCTACCAATTAACTGGGGCCATGTCGGTGACGCCGTGGTCCAACCGGGAAAGCCGGTGTGGAAGCATCGCATAAGGATTGGCTAATGCATGACCCCGTGGGCGGGGCTGTGAGGAGGGCGGGAAAACCACGGCGATTGGGCGAGGAGGCGCCGGCGGCAGGCGGGGATTGGCTACGCTCTGGGGCAGAGAGGCCTGGGAAGGGGCGGAGGAAGGAGGACAGAGCAGGAAGAGCAGCGGCTAGGCGGCGGCGGCTGAGTCCATAGGGGCAGAGGCGCAAGCGACAGCTCTCGGGGGTGGCAGCGGCCCCGGGCGCAGGATGCGGGTCCGGGTCGGGCTGACGCTGCTGCTCTGTGCGGTGCTGCTGGGCACGGCCTCGGCGTCTTCGGGTCAGTATCCGCGCCTTCGGACTGGAGGCCGGGAGCCACCGCCCCCCGGCCTCCATCCAGGGGCAGGGCCTCGGGGGCTCAAGCTGGAGGCTCCACTCTCTGGTCACATCTCGCACCCACCTGTCGCTCGCTGTCATTTCTTGGGCTTCGGTTGGCCTGAGCCGGAGAGGGTGGTTAGGGGACTAGAGAGGGGAGGAAAAGAAGAAGCGGTCACCGTGCCCACACCCCTCTCACTTCACAAACTTTACTGGGCTCCTTCCCACGGAGGAGGAATGGACTCCTTGGGAGTGAGTTCCACAGCTGCCTCGGACCCAGGGACCCAGGAGCCCCGGGACCTTCCCCGGCGCTCATGTGGGTTTTGTGCTGCATCGGGTCTGAAACTCTGGATTTGGGATTTGTAAGTGAGGCGATTGACACACCTGGGGCTGTCACCAGGCGGAGCCAGGTCAATCAAAACCAGGATGTCCACAGCGACAGGGGTTTGCTTGACACCTGAGATGGTCCCCAGTCTCTTCGTCTGATTAATAAGGAAAACCTTTGATATAATTGTGTTCATGCCCTTCCCCCCTTTTAAGAAGTATTTCTAAGCAAGTGGTTTTTACCTCTATCACAGTGTTTCTGAGTTGCCCCGTGTTTGTTGACGGTAATTTTATGATTTGTGAGAAAATCGTGGTCCTATAGATTTTAAAAGGATAGTAACTAGTTTTAACTTTTTTTTTTTTTTATCCTCACATGAAGATATGTTTTTATTGATTTTGGAGAGAGAGGAAGGAAGGGGAGAAGAGAGCGAGCGAACCATTGGTTGTCCCCCTTAGGCGCTCTGATCGGGATTCGACTGGGAATCGAACCTGCAACCTTTTGGGGTATGGGACGAGGCTCCAAGCAACTGAGCCACCCGGCCAGGGCCTAGTTTTAACTATTATGTATATATAGAAATTCCTGTGCTTTTGAATTGATTTTACGATTAAATGACTTATACTCTGGTTCTAAAAATAATTACTTTTTTTTTTTTTAATACTTTAGTCTCCTTACAGCTGACAGCTTCTGTATTGAGAGTGTTGGAAAAGGAGCACTTAGTGTTTCTAATCGTTGGTAAAGAAACAATTAGTACAGTAAAGCTTTTGAATTTTAATCAGTTTTCGTTAACAAGACAACTGTTCTGTGGCTTTAAATTTTTTTAGAACAAGGCAGCGTATAAATGTCAACTCTCTTTTTTTAACAGAAAATTTCCCAGATGGTTATTTGACTCCCCAAATTATCTGCCCTAGTTATAAGTCAATGCCGTAACGTCATTCTGCTTCTAAAATAAGAGGTCTAAACCTAAAATTCTCTCCATAATGTGGTTTGAGATACCATTTCAAAAGTAACAAGCATGTGCTAGTTACTCTACAGCCAACATCATGCTTTGAGGTCTGACTCCCCCTCCTCCCCTTTTAGTCATAGTTTGTGTTCATGACCAAATCTTTAAAACTTGGCATAGCTCTTGAAGCACTGCTAGCAGTTATTTGATCAAAGGACGTATGAAAAGAAACTGCTGAGTGTAGAGGTGGAGTACTTGATGGACCATGGACCACCTGCATCAGAATTGCTCTTAGAGGTTTGTTAAAAATGCAGGTTTATGTCTGGAACAGGTCAGGGTGTCTGTAGTTTAACAAGCTTCACAAGTGATTCTTTGCACTAAACTGTGAGAGCTACTAGTTAAAGAACATGATATATCCCTATGATGTCAATTTGCAGAATATAAAGAAAATTAAAGCATACAAACATTTTTCTGCATCTTCCTTTGACTAAATATTATATACTTAGAGCTTCTTGTCCATGGAGATGACCTGTGAAGTCATTTAATCAACAGTTGGGATTCTCAGTATGTTATAATAGAAGACTATTAATACTGAAGTGTTAAACCTTTGGGTTGTGTTGATGTAAGCAGAGCACTAGGTTCAAGAAATGTCTGCTGTGATTTGCATCATAGTTAACTTGTGTCAAAACATTTCTCTGGGAGAGGCAGAGAACTAAAGAGTATAGGTTTGCACACTGACAGGTGATAAAGGCAGTACTATGCTGGCATGAAGTGCAAATATCATAAAACACGTGAAATAGGGTTTATAAATTGAGAACGTGGATTTCCAGTTGACTTTTTTGTTCATTAAATTGCTTATTTATATGGAATGTCAGTCTCATTTTTAGTATAGATTTAAAGATTTGCTCCTATTTAAAACCTGGGTTTTGGTAATAATTTGTGTTGATTTAAAGTTTGAATGTTAATTGTTAACTAGAGCAAGTTGCATTTATAGCAGGAATAATATGATCAAAGAGAGTTTTGATTATATCACTGTTACTCTTCTCTAATATCTTGTTTTAGAGGCATGTATAAAAATGATACTTTTGTTGGAAATGATTTATTTTCTCTGTTAATAAATAAATTTAAAGGAGGAGATTAAAAAGATATTTCTCCTTCATTTTCTCAAGATAATAGTGAAAATACTGTAACTTTTCTCACTTAGAAATACATGTTTTCTTATGGTTTACTTTTCTCTCTTTATGCCAAACACTGTTACAAAATCTTTTAAATTAGGTCCACTGGTAGGTATTTCAAGTAATAGTTATGTTGATATTATATATTCAAACAGTAGATTTCAGATTGTGGAGGATGTTTAATTTCATTGTTCTTTTGTTCCTTAAAAAACATTGAGCCAACAGGGCAGATGGTATTACTCCTTTTTGATACATTGAGGAAAAAGGAGGCTGAGTAAGTTTGCCATATTGAACCACATATATAAAATTAATATATAATGAAGCCAGGTTTTGAACCCAGCTCTCCAGGCCTCAGATTTGGAGTAAATAAGAATTAGAGTATCCTAGGGTCTGCACAGATTCAGGGGCAAAGCAGAAGACAGGATTTCTCTTTGCATCAAACTCTTAAGGATTCTGTGTTTGAAGGTGTATCAGTGTAATTTACATGGCGAGTTGGAAAATGAATTTGTCATAATTACTTTTCCCTGAAAGAATATCCCTGGTACTTTGCAGTTTTGTTAGCTGATAAAATAAAAATGAAAATTGATCTTTTTCAAAGGAAGGTGTACGATTGCTAAAGTAATGCAAACTATAATATTTTGGATGTGATACTGTTGAGTGAGAAATCCATAACTCCTCATTAAATCCATTTGCATTTTTCTTGTTGCTTGATGTCTGTGTCCTGATAAAGGCATTGCTATTTTCTGTTTGTTTATGCATAATTTCAGTGCCTTTAATCCTTACCTGATTTCTACATATCAGAAGTTTCAAGTTGTAAGCAACTTCTTTAAATGTGTTGTATGAATGGATATATCAATTTGAAAGAGAAAATAGCTTATGCTTTAAGACTACCATCTGGGGTAGCTTCTCCTACTTTGGTAAATGAGAAAGAATTCTCTTATTTACCAGTAACCTTAGTATCTGTTCCTAGTTTGTGAAGAGAAAAGAGAAAGAGAGAGAAGCATGATGCAATTCACATGAAATAAGCCTGATGTCACAGGTTCCCATGTCTCTTGGAGTTCAGAAACACATTAATACCTAACAGCTTGTAGTGTCTCAAATGTACATGTCTTAAAATTTATTTATAGGCATCTACATTATTTACCAAATAACTGCCTATGTGATCTGTTGTGGCAGGGTACTAAATTTAGTGATTAAAGAGTTCCAAATAATCTAAAGTTTCATTATTTTGGGATATACCATATACATCTGCTTATTTATGTCGGCTCATGATATATTAACTAGTTAATGTTTGTGATTCATTAAATATAACTTCAATATATAATAGAGATTAATTTTTTCCCTTTATCCAAAGATTTGTTGAGAATGGAGTTTGAACTATATGTCAAAACTTGGGCTTTAGGTGATACTTGTGAAGCAGTTACCATGAAGAGGATTATTAATTAATTGACATCACTGCCTAAATATATGGGTACTATGGATTAATACATGCTATACCCTCCTCCTCCTCACTCACCAGAACTAAAACATATTTGGAAGATAATCTAAAAGCAGTGAATATGAAAGAAGCTATAATTTAAGTTTCTTTGAATTGACAGCACTTTTGTATATGGTAAAACCTCACTAGTAGACTTTTTTTCCAATATTCAAAAGAAACCAATACTGTGAAATAGAGTTGTGTGTTTTGTACATAATTTTGAGTTGGTTATACTTCTTAAAAGTTAGCTTAGTGCAGTGATAATACAAATCCAAAACATGTTTTTGTTATACTGTAGGGAGTTACAAGTTAAATAATATCCAGGATCTGACCATATGAGAAGTAAAGATAAATGGCTACCATAACCCCAAATTTTCTAGTAAAAATCACATGGTCTTATAACATTTTGTCTACTGGTTAATTTCTCATATAACTTATAGAACAGCAAAACTGAAGCTCACTCCTAGCTAAAATTAGGTAATTTTAAGAGTAAGAAGGAAACTTAGAGATCATCTGAGTATTTGTTAACTGGCCAGAAACACAAAGACTAAACATTTGCATATGGACATTGGATTATCAAATGTGCTTATATAAGAAAAGTGAAAAGGATAACAAGCAGCCAGAATAGAAGTAATAGGAGGAAAACACAGAAAGAATAATAGAGATAAAATTAATGTAATCGGACAAAGAAAAGCAGCAGGTGTGAATTTGGAAGAAAGGTGTAATTAGTGGCTGGCTTCATCATCTATTTAATATAGCTATTGATTTCTTAATAACTATATCTTCTGTGAATGAATACATGACAGTATGATGCTACTTTTTACCTGTATCTGGTTATCTCTTCGGTACAATAGAACACATCTTAAATATCTCAGTTCTAGCAACTCTGCTGTCCAATAATAATAATAATTCTTAGTGTCCATCTTTAGTAGTCTTAGTGAATTATAAAGTGCTAATCAGCACTAACATAAGCTAGTGTAACTCCACATTTTGAGCAGAGGGAAAAATAGGTAGAATCCTGAACCACAAAATCAGAAATTTATTTTTATAAATTTTGTAACTCATTCTCAGTAGTAGACTAAATATGTGCAGAAGAATTGGATGGTATCCGAGGTATCTGGCTGTGGTGTGGAAGCTGGCCTTCCTGTCTGTTAACAGATGAAGCTACTGTCTTTCCTGGAATAAGAGGAAACACTACCAGCCCAACCCCCTTTTCTCCTTTAGCTTCATCTTTTCTGAACAGTTGCTGACTACAGACAGTTTTAGATAATTCTAGATTTAGTTATCCAGTGTCTGATTATTACTTGTTGTACTTATCAAATGCTTTTTAAAAATAATACCTGCGATTTCCCAACAAGAAAGATGACTAAATTGTCTTAAAATTTTTTTACAGATGAAGAAGGCAGCCAGGATGAATCCTTAGATTCCAAGGTGTGTACTAAAATTTGCACTGACTCATAGTTGATGCCTGATTTAAAACAAAGGATATGGAGTCTACATCTTTTGAGCAGCAGAATTGGAATTTAAAAAAAGAAAAAGAAAAGATAGCTGGTATCAATATTAGTTCTAGTTCTTCTGTAGGAAAAAAAATCACTGACCTACGGGAGAGAAAATAGTAAATATATCCAATTAAGAGTGTTGGTTATTCGGTTTAATTTCACCTTGAATGGGGGGTGGGGGTGGGGGTGGGTGTGTGTGTGTGTGTGTGTGTGTGTGTGTGTGTGCGCGCGCGCGCGCGCGTGCCTAAAGCAAGGGTAGGCAGCCTTTTTTCTGTAAAGGGCCATTTGGATATTTATAACATTTGCAGGCCATACAAAATTATCAACTTAAACATTACCCTGCTATATTTTGTCAAACATTTAATTTACTCATCTCTAATGTGAGGCTGGTTGATTGAGTGGATAAAACTTTCTGCCTGGCCAGTGTGTCTCAGTGGTTGAGTGTTGACCCGTGTACCAAGAAGTCACTAGTCAGGGCACATGCCTGGTTTCAGGTTTGATCCCAGTAGGGGGCATGCAGGACGCAGCCAATCAATGTTTCTATATCTCTTACCCTCTCCCTCCCTCTCTAAAAAAAGAAAAAAAATCAATAAAAACTTTTTTTTTAAAAAAAAGAAAAAAAAGAAAGGCTTCCTGGGGGAAGTAACATCTAAGGTGAAATTTGAAGAAAGAGTCAGGGTTAGGCAGGTGATGAAGACAGTGTGACGAACATGTACGAAAGCTTGTAGAGATGAGCAAGTGTGGCACACTCAAGGAGCTGAGAGAGATCTCAATTGTAAAAGTAATGGTCAATTAGAGTAAAGCAAGTTTTGGTACTCTTAGTAACTGAAATACTTTCTGTTCTCAGACTTCTCTGCCATCAGATGAGTCGGTAAAGGACCACAGTACAGCAGGCAGAGTAGTCGCTGGTCAGATATTTCTTGATTCAGAAGAAGCAGAATTGGAATCACCTGTTCAGGAGGAGGAAGACAGCCCCAGGAGCCAAGAAGGAGAAAGTGGCACAGAAGAAATCAGTTTTCTAGAATCTTTAAATCCAGAAAACAAGGATTATGAAGAGCCAACGAAAGTACAGAAACCAGGTAGTCTGGACATTTTCTTTGCTTTTGCCTGATTTAAGAAAGGAGACAACTGAAATTTTAAAGCTAGTGTAAAAAGATGCACAAGTCTGGTTTTACTGATTATTAACTACATGCAATGTATAGAATGTAGTTTTACAGATTTTCTAGATTTTAATATATCAAAGTTATTTGCTTAACAAATTTTACCCATTTACATAAGCCAAATTTAATAGTCAAAATTGCATTTGTATTATGTTAATATTCTAACATTTCTTTTTGGACCCCAGTATGTAATAATCCATCAGAGAAGTATGCATAATAGAAGCTCAGTAAGGATTGTCTACCATGCTACTTTGGTTATTTTCTGAATTGCATTAGGATTTTTACTGCAGTAACCTTTTTGGTCATCCTAGGTAATTTGAGTTAGGTGTTTATCCTTCCAATTGAAACTTATGTAAACTTTAATCCTCTTTTGACTTTCACCTTGACACCCTCTATTTGTAAATTTAAAACATTATTTCTCACAATAGAGTGTGTTAAATACCCATCCTTTAAAAAATAAATTATTAATGTGTCCATTCTGCCCTGTCCCACCACCCTTCTGTCATTTAGTTCAAAGATCACTCCTATACCCACTTATTATTCCATTGTTAGCCACTTTCAGGACTTGATCGAGATTTTACCTTTTAAAAATAAAATTGTTTATTACAAATATTCCATACTCATGAATACAAAAACCAGTTTAAAAAAATTAAAAGTACTTTAATCCCATCAACAGGCAATCATAGCTGTTAACATCCTGGGTAATTACTCTCTCGGGCTTTTTTCTAGATGTATGGTTTTAAGACTAAATTGGGTCAGAATGTTTATACTATTTTATTGCTTGCATTTTGCACTTAACAGTTTATCTTAACCATTTTCCCATGTAATTTAGTGTTCTTTTACAATTTGATGGTTAAGACTTGAAAATTTTTTACATGTATAACTTTGAAATAGATTATTTATTATTATTATTATTATTATTATTATTATTATTATTATTGTTGGGAGATCATTTTAGTTGTATCTTTGTCCACATCTATGAAAATTTCCTGAGAATTGATTTTTAAAATTTCCTGAGAATTTGCTGGACTAAATGTAAATTTTTAAAAGACATTTGATACATATTACTAAATTGTTCTTCAGAAAAGCAAGTCCTTTTACTTCCTTTGAAACTACCTTTTATTCCTGTACCTCGGCCAAATGTGTATTATCATTTTTAAATTTGGGCCAAGTGTTATAGTTTAATTCATTCCTTTTTATTTTTCATTTAAATAATTTTTTATTTTTCAATTACAGTTGACATACAATATTATATTAGTTTTAGGTATACAACTCAGTGGCCATTTTCAACCAGTGTGCCACAAGAATTTTTAAAACATGCAACACCTATTTAGTCAGGGGCACTGACCTCTTTTCCCTTAGATTGTCAAATAAAAAAATGACAACAGCCAACACAACAATAGCCATTCAGTGTGAGTGAATCAAAATTATACCTATTTTTTTGGTCAGATTGGCAAAAAATATATTTTTTGGTGGGCTGCAGAATTTTAGTAATTAGTTTATGTGTGCCATGAGATGAAAAAAGTTTTTGCTGTACTAAGTGATCATCCTGATAAATCTCGTACTCATTTGACACCATACATAGTTATTAGAATATTATTGACTATATTCCCTATGTTATACTTTACATCCCCTTGACTATTCTGTAACTACCAATTTGTTCTTCTTAATCCCCTCACCTTTTTCACCAATCCTTCCAACCCCCCTCCCATCTGGCAACCGTCAAAATGTTCTTTGTATCTATGAGTCTGTTTCTGTTCAGTTTGTTTGTTTTGGTTTTTTAGATTCAATTGTTGATAGATACATATTTATTGCCATTTAATGTTTATATTTTTATCTTTATTTTTCTTCTTCTTCCTCCTAAAGACGACCCTTTAACATTTCGTGTAATACCAGTTTGGTGGTGGTGAACTCCCCTAGCTTTTTCTTATCTGGGAAGCTCTTTATATGTCCTTCGAGTCTAGATAGCTTCGCTGGGTAGAGTAATCTTGATTGTAGGTCCTTGCTTTTCATCACTTTGAATATTTCTTGCCAATCCCTTCTGGCCTACAAAGTTTCTGTTGAGAAATTGGCTCACAGTCTTATGGGAGCTTCCATGGAGGTAACTGCTTTTCTCTTGCTGCTTTTAAGATTTTCTCTTTGTCTTTAACTTTTATCATTTTAATTATGATATGTCTTGGTGTGGACTTCTTTGGATTCATCTTGTTTGGGATTCTCTGCTTTTTGGACTTGTATGTCTATTTCCTGCACCAGGTTAGGGAAGTTTTCTGTCATGTTTTTACATAGCTTTTCAGCTTCTTGCTCGCTCTCTTCTTCTGGCACCTCCATGATGTGAATGTTGGTACACTTGAAGTTGTCCCAGAAGCTATTCCTTTTTTATTTTTTATCAGGGAGATTTCCAAACATGCTTAAAAGTGAGGGTGTAATGACCCCCATTGTCCCCACCATCACCCAGCTTCAGCACTATTGTTCTCCTTTCATCTTTACCACCCCACACATTTACTCTTTTTTTCTTTCCTAGAGTATTTTAAAACAAATTCCACGTATTATTTTACCTAAGTATGTATATCTAAAAATAAGTTTTTCCAGCAAAACTGCAGGAGTATTTTAACACCCACATAATTAGCTATTGTTTCTTTATCTCCCAATACCCAGATTCTGTTCAGTTTTCCCAATCATTTCAAATGTCATTTTAGAATTGGTTTGTTTGAATCAGTATCCATGCTTAGATCTTAGGTTTCTCTTAATCTGTAATAATTCTCCCTCCCTTGTTTTTAAGTGTCATTTTATTTGTTAAAGAAACAATGACTTTCATGCTATCAGTTTCTCACATTCTGGATCTAGCTGGTCATATCCATGTCATATCATTTAACTTGTTCCACTCTATTGTCTAGTCTGTAAACTAGAAATTAGCTCTAGAAGCCTGGGTAGATTTAGTTGTTTTTTTTTTAACTTTTAAAATATGTTTTTATTGATTTCAGAGAGAGGAGGGAAGAGGGAGAGAGAGAAGCATCAATAATGAGAGAGATTATTGGTCGGCTGCCTCCTGCATGCCCCCTACTGGGGATCAAGCCCGAAACCCAGGCATGTGCCTTGACTGAGAATCGAATCATGACCTCCTGGTTCATGGGTCAGCGCTCAACCACTGAGCCACGCCAGCTGGGCCAGTTCTATTTTTTTATTGAGACTATTTCATAGACAGTGGTTTGTATTTCCTGTCGCCTTACATTGGGAGGCATATAGGGTCTGATTGCCCCACTTCTGGAGATTGATCAGTGAGGTTGGGTGGTGTCAACCTGATCCAGCCATTCAGAAGTTCCTCACTGAGTTTTCACCTAGAGGTTTTGGCAACTGTTTTGTTGTCTAGATCCATTACTTCATTAGGAGTTGCAAAGTGATGATTTTCTAATTTATCATTTCTCCGTTTGTTACCCAGGATTGTTTTATAAAGAACTTTCCCTCATCAACTATTTGGTTCCTCTGAAACAGTCCATACAGGGAAAGCAGGGTAAATGCTTGATTCTTTTCCTTGAAGTATTTTCAAATAATAATTTGGTATCCTAGCAACATCCAAAGGAGACCAGTGAGTGTGTTTTTGTGTGTTTGTTTTGCTTTCAAGCATCGTTACAAATCCATGGGTTTTCTATTCTTATGCTTCATTCTGTTGACAAATTGGACTCACAGGAGTCATCATAGCACTATCAAACTTTACTAATATTTTCAAAGATACAGTGATCAAAACACACAGGCAAATGTCCAGAAGTCTGTAACTGCCAGAACTACTCCCAGGTCCTGTCTTGCCTCAATTAAGGTGCACTCTGGCCCAGATTTCAACAAGTGAGCCTCCTAAGTGATGTGTATGGAGTGTGACTTCTGCCAAAGGGAGCTATTTCAGTTATGAAACATCTCCAGTTTATTCTGTAATAACTGCATGGCTTATGTGAAATTTTCTAAGTATTCATGCCTCATAAATACATATATCTCAGGTTCATGTACAGTGAGCAGTCTAGACAGACCAAGACCATCCTGCCTAAAGCATTCCATAAGTAAGGACTCTCCTGGTAGTAAATACCTCTAGCATGTTTGCCAGAGGTCTCTTGTTATCAAGTTTCTAAGATGATATGATTATGCCACCTCTCTGTGTCTCTGTTTCCTGGGCAGTAAAATGAGAGAATGGATTGCAGGTCTGCTGCTAGCCCTTTCTACCCATCAGGGTTTTTGTTTCTTCCTTTCCTTGTGTCTCCTTTCCCTGATGCTGAAAATCTTGGTACCTAATGACATTAATGTTATATTGCTTTATCCTGATATATATGTATCCATAATTATGTATATACAGTTTATAACAGTGGCCACCTTACCAATAACAATAGGATCTCTGAATGTAGTTTAAGATTTCTTTGTGGTTCTTTTTGTTTTTAGTATATATTTTACTAGATATTAGTAATATGGTATTTTTAAGTCACTTGAATAATTTTGTGTGGTTATACCAACAACTTTATACAAATTTAGATTCACTTGTTTGATTTGTCTTAGTTTTTAAATAACTGCTTTATTGTTTCCTTTTTATTTGGACTTGTTTTTAATTTATTATTAGTGCATGAAAAGGCTTATGTAACATAAATTGCATATGCATGGCTTTTTGTGAGTGCAGTTCCAGCTACATTAGAACTGGGTTATGTGACATTTGCTTCTAGACTTGCTTCCTTTGTCAGCCTCCCAACCGTGTCGCTGCCATATTGCTTCTCCTAAAGAAGTCGGCTTCCTCTCTGGTGTCCCTGCTTTCAACTTCCCTATGCCCATGCCCCATTATCTGATCTTTCTTCCTGTTCAGAAGCCTCTAGTGGCTTCCTACCATATGCAGAATAAAATCCAACTCCTTACCTGTACTAATGAGGCCTTCCATGATCAAGCCCCACCTG